GTGGCAGCCGCTTTTGTAGGCTCGTGAAATAAGCTCAAGTGGTGTCCAGTCAGTGTGTGTTGCATTTTCCGAGGGGTGGTGGCCCAGTGGCTTAGGTTGTTGGTTGCAGGGGGTGACACGTTCATATGGCGCATGGGTAGCCGCGGCGCTGTGTGGACGCAGGTGCGTCCGAGTGGAAGTCGGTCGAGTGGTTTCAGGTCAGCGCGTCTGGAACGGCTCGCTGCGAGAGGTGAATGACCTTGAGGCAGCGAGGTCGCCAGACCGGTTATGATGGCTGCCTGCTACACGGCCACGCTCACCTGATGGAGCTGTGATGTACCGCGTCTCTATCAGTGATTTACTATCGTGTACGTTTACAAAGACACCATAGCAAAATATGATGTGCATATGCGCTATATGCAGTGCTTGTGAGTGTGCATCTATCACAACATAATTTCCTTCCCTTAGGTACTCGGTCTTCGCTGAGGTGGATGTGCAGGCCACTCCCAGTGGCAGCAATGCAACTGTCATCAGTGAAAAAGTGCCCATCCAGATTGTAAGCTGTGCTGGTCTGCCTCCGGTGGTTGCCAATCAGTACCTGGCGGCTGATGTCCAAATCATCCCCGTGTCCTACAAATCCTCACAAGTCCTTCTCATCGTAAGTAGACGTCCACCTCGTACGTCTCTTAGTTTCTTTACTGCGATATTCTGCTAGTACGGCGATGAATGCGGTGAATATCGCACGCTTCAACCTGTCGTGGTTCAGTTGATGGAGGATCTAACTCGCGTTTCGGATTGTTTAATGGTGCACGGGACATTTGGGGTCAAACGGTGTCACTTTGACTTTGACTCAAGCATAATTTTATAATGATATTAGATGTCGAGGTCCCTGTTTCAGTTGCCCATATCCTCTGCTTGGCTGTAAGTCGACATGAACGATATCGAAAATAAATATGGAAGTGAAAAAGTGGTAGATTTACGGACAGGTGAGATGCGACCACTGATATAGGACGTTTATTCGCCTGACTATCGGATTCCCACTCGAATCCATCACCAGAGACAGTCGAGGCAGTCTAATAATAGATTCGAGTCTAAATCAGAGGAGTCAGGCAAATAAACCCCTTGATCAAGTGAGCGCATATAATGCTTTTGAACTGCTTCCTTGAACCGACCTCTTCGCCTCTATCAATAATTAACGAATCGGGGTGCATGGGAGCGAGCCAGAGAAAAATGGTAGAAGAAAGAGCTGATTACTATTTCCAGGCCGTCAGGGATGGGTGGTTAATAAAGTAACTCGATTAAACGGACCCATTTATGTAATGGATAGAACTTTGGTTTGTTCCTTTATAGCATCCGTCAACCGATGCAGAAAAAGCTCTTGCTATTCAGACGGAGTTACTATTAGGATTACAGGATTCAAGCGTCCGCCTCATCAGTGCCACACCTTCGAAGTAACGTAGAGGACGTGTCAGACTTGAAGAATGTCAAATGTCGGCCTTACGTCGACTACATAGTCGATGGCAGAGGGGCGCTCACAGATCGTTCTTACGGAACTCCCTCGTTTCGTTGTGTCTTACGGGATTTCTTTCGAGCCCAACCAGCAGCCGCACAGCGGCGCATGATAAAGGCAGTATGTAATTACTGACAAGGGAGACTGGAATGGCCATTTCTGGCTTATTAGCCGTCGTGAGCCAATCGTGCCCAACCCCTAAGTGTGGGACATCGGAGGATCGAACTCGCGATCTGTTAGTTAGAAGTCCACGCCTCTAACCACTGGGCCACGAGCCCGTTACCCTGTCGCTTTCGATAGGGAATATACAATGATAGAGGGGCGCTCACCGATCGTTCATTCGGAACCCACCCGTTCCACTGTGCCTTGCGGACTCTCTCTCGAGCCCAACCAGCAGCCGCACAACGGTGCATGATATAGGCAGAATGGTATTACCTTGTCTTTGTCGGTAATGCCATCCTGACATAATCGATGCGCGCCAGGTGTTTTGTCAGTTATCTTCTCCGAACCCGTTGTCGGCTGGCAACAGTCCTTTTGACGGATGATCGATCGACCGCGCTGTCACTCGCATTTGCAAGCATCCAGTGCTTCTGCAGCAGGGGCCTCACTATATTCCCAAACATAGTTAGAACTGGCGTATATGGGCAAAGCATCCGCAATACCCGCGGTCGATATGGTTGTTGCAGGGCCTCAGAGCATGGGGTTGGCAGCGGGATATACTAGTTTAACCGTGCTAAGGATACGTTGGAGACCACGTTGGAGACAAATGTGGAGAGGCCTTTCGTAATGGACTCTTCAATTGGTTTCCCTCCCTAGTTTGGCAGTGTTTTGGATATTCGCTGTTATCTAATACTTTCTTGAATAAATTGACGTCGCCTTTCATCGGCTTACAGAGGAACGTACTTTAGTTGGACGATTAAGGAAATGCGATATAAAGCGATTTTTTCTCCAAATGAAGGCAAGACTTGGACGTGGGGTACGGATCCTTCCATTTTGCCCAATAAATAAATCTGTGGCGCCTTAAGAGCGTACAAGCGACCCGCCTCTGGCAAATACGCTACGTTGGGAACCGATTGACGACGGCTTACGAGCGATCTGTCGTTCAGAAGCCAGTCTGCTCCCCTGCGTTGGTTGATATTTCCTCCTTCTCCAAGTCATCCTGATCGGACATTCAAGAATGAGATTGGTAGTCATAAAACTAGCTAGCAAAAGTTGCTCGCGAAGACGAAACCTGGTCACTTCTTGCCTTAAAAGCTGTGGTCTGGCCCAATTTCTTAGGAATAAGAGTGACCGCAACAAAATAAACTAGTTGTCAAAAAGGCAGGATTTCTAACTTGGCTCCAGAATTCAACTTATTTTACACATTTGGCCCACGCAACATCGATGATGATGGCGGTGGTGGTGGTGGCGGCGACGGCGGCGGCGGCGGATTTGAGCTCGGTGCGTTGGGAATATTTGCTATTTAAAACACCACCTGATCGGTCGTCACTAGTAACTTAACTATCAACAACAGACGTCTGCGGCCGTGTAGTTGGGTATGCATTTATGTATTGCATTCGATGTGTGGCTCTAAAAATGTGAGTCAGGTAGAAAGATTTTTGTGGGTTGTTGATTGGTTGGCTTTGGCTAACTAATCGTGCTGACGGTATAGTGCTATGGAGCATATGATAATCGGTGGTATTTTTCATGACCATTGATGCAGATCACTTCGACTAAGACATTGGTTTGCCTGCAGTCTGTAGCTATGCTTAGTTACCTTATCCTTTTTTCATCAGTTTGCGAGATGATCTAATTCTGCTTGCACTGCCAACTAAACCGAGACAGGCATGTGACTTGATGAGTTGTTGACGAGGCCACAACGTCTGTTAAGGCTGAAACCGAGGCGAGCCAGAGGTAAGGAATTCGCTGTTAACTGGCTAGGCGCGTTCTCTATAACGGCAAGCGTGTCGAAATATTGCGAACGTGTCTGGCTTGTACTATCTTGTTCGTTAACGCCCTGAGGCTCAGCTGACTCCCACACAAAACTGTCTGTTCGGTCGGATCTTAGTTCGTAGTCGTACCTGCAGTAGACAAGGCCCAGTCTAACCTCTAACTTCTAACACCAACCACTACACCCTAACACTAATCCTACCCCCAACCCCTATCCCTAAGCCCAAACTCTAACCCGTAACCCCCACCACCAAACCCTAACGCTGATCCCCAACCTTAACCCCTAACCCCAACCCCTACCTCCTAACCCTAACAGTTACTCCTACGGAATGGAATCTTGCCGTCTGTGTTCCTTTGTAGGTGTTTGCCAAGCAACCCGCCCCAGTATCCGATTTGTCCATTGATGGTTTTTGTGAATAATGCTTACTGCGATTTGACCTCTGACATCTGACATCAGCAGTTAAATTATCATAGGCAGATATAGGCGGACAAGTTCACACTGTCTGCGACGTGCTCAGACTATCTCTCCCGTGGCATGACACAGGAAATTCTAGTTCGGGCATCAGCCCAATTGGCTTCTGAAGGCCTGTGAACTGCATTCGTTTTGTGCGAAATCTTCAGACATTTTGACAATGAAGTCATTTTGGAGCTATGTTGCCGTCCATTCCGAAAGTACGTGTGTGGCCCAAAATGTCCGGGAAATCCAAGGGACCAAAGTAGTTTAGCTCAGGCACTCGATGTTGCATCTTTGTAGGTATGCTGGTAAATGCAACTATAACTATGTACTAAAAAGCGAAAATAAGCTGTCCCTAAGTGAAGAAAAAACAAACTATGGGTTGAAGCATTATTTTTTCGTAATAAGTTTGAACAAGGCAAAGGCGACGAAACATGCAAGATTTACTAATGTCATAAAATTTCGTGACCTCTTATTCAACTGCACACAATCCTTGCGTATTTATAAGATAAGTAAATTGTTCAACCAGAGCTAGGCCAAGAGGGATGGTACATGATAGGCAAATAAACATAGACTGTTGGTCCGTAGAAGTTCACCGAGGAGTATCGCCATCCCAGACAAGGAAATTAGGGGGAAATCTCCGCGTCAAAAAGCCGGTGTGCATCTACCTCCCTCTCAAAGACAATAATGTGTCAAATGTGATCCGGCGACGACTTCGGTGCACGATTGGACGGATGTGCGCCGCGTCTAAATTGTTGATTATAAACACTACAAAGGCTGTTCCAGTAAGACCAGCCAAAGGAATTCTGCCGATACACGCCACATCAAACAGCATTTATGAGTTTACATGTACTTGCGGATGCAAATACAATGGGCGCACGCAAAGGCAGTTGGCAGTTCGGTCAACTAAACACATGCCAAAGTGGCCGTCAAAGGCGGGAAATAAGGTACCCAGGAATCCAATTACGAAACACCTAGTGGACACGGGCCATACGGTGGACCCAATGACTGCATTTAAGGTCCTACTTCGGGCGACGACTGGATGCCTCCTGCCGAGGCCGCTGCAATACGGATGAGAAAACCGGAACTCTGTAAGCAGCTGGGTCACGTGATCAACTTCGTACAGCCATGGTAAGGAATGATAATGACCACAACCCCATTCCCACACTCGCTCCCTCCCTCCGCATGACTGACTGTCGGCCAGCCCGACGTGTTTTCACCGTAATGTAAACTCGCTGGCTTAGATACCTTCCCTCCACCTTCCCCCTCACCATGCGCATCCGTATATCAGACCAACAGTCTATGTGTTATTTACCTATCATGTTTAATCCCTCTAGACCTATCTCTGATTGGACAATTTACCTTATTTTTTAAATACGCAATGACAGTGTGCAGTTGAATAAGAGGTCAAGAAATTTTATGACGTCAATAAATCCTTCAGGTTTCGTCGCCTTTGCTTTTCCTAAAAGTATGGTTTGCAACTGAGTGTACTGAAGCAATGGAGTGTTTTGTTAACTTCTGTTAGAGTAAACCTTGACAATGGAATACTGGCAACCATAAGGTAAAAGTGGCGGAGTAAGGTCACAGTGGGTGGGGAATTTTGCCACAAACCCCTCGTGACCGCAAAGTTTCAAATTTAACAGCCATAATTACTAGCTCTTCCATCGCGGTCGACGTTTATGAAAGTGGCATGACCGAGTAGTGCTTCTGTAGGCCGGTAACATGTCAGACATGATGACAATCAAATTTTCCGTAAGGCTGGACCAGTCGGATACTAGAACTAAGACTTCTAATATCTTCCTTGCTTTTACAGACAGAAAAGAAGCACCTCCAGTCGCCGGACACAATTAGGCTGTATGTCTACACCAACCACGCAAGAGCCGTACATTCCGTCTTTTGTGAACTGGTCCAATCGACCAATCTGCCGGAGATTGAGCTTAGTGACAATCAGGACGTAAAAAACCCCAAAAAAGAGCCTGGTTTAGAGCTCCTTCATCGCACAAAGAAGGTTTCGCTGAAAAAGGATTTCCCCAAAAGGTTTTCCTCAAAAGTGGGTGAAAGGTTTCCGCCCAGCATGGACAATTACGCACAAAACTCGGTGAATCCAAACCTGGATGACCTTGCAAAAATGCCGGAGAGCAGCCGGAAAGCAGGTTGTCTCGTAGAGATTCCTGTGCCAGCAGGTCTAGATCCAGCCATTGAAGCCGGCGAAACGAGGATTCGTTACCATTTACGCGTATGTTTTGCGTTGCCATTTGTTAAAACCTTTCCAATTCGCGCCTAATATCTACCCTCAGATTTACGTAGATGAGACGCCTCCCCAGCTGTCAGTCATCTACAGCTAAATTTTGCTGATTACGCAAGCCTCCGTTGCTACTTTAGAATCCAAGCAAATCGGTCTTTCAAAAAACAGATGCCTTGCCTCGTTAGTCCAAAGAAAGTAATCTTCAATAATTTACACAAATGAAATGTGCGAGCATCCATAGACATTTTCTACAGGCGCCCTTTGTCTTAATGCATAAGGAGCATATTTGAGGGATAGAAGCCCTACTCACACAGGATATGTCATATTATTTAACCACGAGGGATTTCACCGGCCTTTAAATGAAAGACAGCCGGTTGACAAATAACGGCGCAAAAATATTTCAGTTAGGTAGCTGTTTAAACTTTCTGTCATCTATCTTTCAGATTCACTTAGACGTAAACGGGAAAAGGAAGCCTGAGAGCCCAGCTGAACTCCTAACAATTTCGGAGGAACTTTTGCCTAACTACAAGATTAAGTATGTGGTGTTCACGGACCAATAAATGGACGCAATTTTCAATTTTTCATGCGGAAAATTTCAATTGTCCTCTCAACTGAACTTTTTTTTATTTTGAAAACTATATTGCGAGTCGACGTTTGCTTTCGATGCGTTCTCATCAGGCCAGTATCTTTATATGATCCTGGTGTCAACTAAAACATGTAGGTAACATAAGAAAACGGGTAATAACCATTCCTTCAACAAAGTGGGGTGGGGTAAAATGGGGGAGAATAATTTGAGGCAGTATTAATCTAGGGTCAGTGGCCGATATCTTGAAATTTTAACTAAAATTCTGAAATGCGTTTTCAGTTAGGAAGGATTGCCTAAATGGGGTTGTAATACTGATTATCTTGCAGCGTTACGCTGTGATATTTCGGACACGCTAGGATGTAGGTTTTTGAATGTACTTTTTCGGCCGCTTGTAAAGGCCGCATTCGGTAAAAGGCAACTACTTCAGTAGCATGCATTTGTATTTATGTTGAATGCTCTTTTAGAAAAATATATTCCATAGAAAAAAAATACACAAAATATCCTTTCTTGTAATCGTTTGGTGGCCACTCACGTCTTCTTGAAGCTTTATACTAGAAGAAAGGGTGTATTCTTGCTTAAAAATGTTACTATGATATTGCATAAGACTGTGAATTGTCCACTTAAACAACATCGTAATGACTGTTCAACAATGTTCCTCATGAAGTGCATAACAAGTTCCACATCCATTACAAAGTTCTACGAACCCTATATGGTATATAAATAATGATATGATAGAATCAATGTTTCTGTTACTTGAAAATTATGCAGCTAGTAGACTCTATACCCAAAACGCAAGTGCAACTGCAAATTGAGTCCAAATTATTCTGAATATAAAAGAATTCTAGAGTCGAATGCTGCTCTTTCTCCGAGTGTGCGATTTGAAGAGAATGAGTACAAAAAGAAATGTCTTTGTGCATTTTTTCTGCAAAATATATTTGAACTGATAAGGGCATTGAAAATCGATGGGAAAAGTGCTTACTAATAAAATCGTCATTTTTGCCAAGTGAAGTCATTGCCGGCGGCCCTAAGGAAAGGGCATTCCAAATGCAACATTCAGGCGTGTAAAAATAGTTGTTGAGTTGTATCACAAGATTATCAGTATTGCAATCCCACTTGAGGGATCCTTCTCAAGTGAAAACACATTTGCGAATTCCGGTTAGCATTCCATGCGATCGGTCACTATCTGTAGATATGTAATGATGGCTCATGTGGACGGAGAAAGACGTGTCAGGGATAGAGAAGGCGCGAAGAGATGCACGCAGTTTGTAGGTTCGGTGGCCCTCGGCCAAGGCCGATTTGGAGACTGCACGAGGCCCTTCAGTGGGGCCTTATACACCACTCAGAAGGCTTCTTTGGGATCCGCATGATATCCGTGATCAAAAATATATGCGAGGATGGCGTTGTCTACGTTCTCAATCAAGAAGAAGAAGACACGATCGCCGGGACAAGAGCTTTCTTAGCCTGACGTTTCGGATTCCTGCTCGAATCCATCATCATGATGATGGATTCGAGCAGGAATCCGAAACGTCAGGCTAATAAAGCTCTTGTCCCGACGATCGTGTCTTCTTCTTGAAGACTGCTTCCTGGGACTCGTCTGTTCTCAATCAATTTGGGGCATAGGTGGATAGGTGCCGCCTTGTGCGACCAGTATGACCGGCTCCCCGGGAGCACGTAAAGGTGTAAATGCATACATGAATGGTCTGAGCCGGCAACTGATTCTTAGCTTCTCCGTGTAGATAAAGAAAACTATCCAAGCCCTTGATTCTATGAAGGTCAGTGGAACAGCTTGGTGTCTGCGTGTCCCCTCGAGAGAGAATTCTAAGGGACTAGAGTTTTCTGTTCCGCTGTCAGCACGGTGGATTTTGCTGGTCTCGCGGTAATATTCTTTGCAATAAATCTGTTAACACACGCACCGTCACGAAGCAGGTAGCGAACCTCTACAAACCTCCTCGTCGATGGTAACTGCCGGACAAATTTTTCCAATACTGAGCCAAATAACAGAGCGGTCTGCGTTTCTGTCGAGGGTACGCAGTTGCTGGAGATCTTATAATGTTCAAACCAAGTTTTAGTTAAGACAAATCTTTTATTGAACGCCAGCATCGGGCCTGTTGTATAGGAAGTCTAAACCAATATTTCCTTCTCCAGTATGAACTTGATCGAAAGATTCACAGCATCTAGGATGACGTTGAGGTCAGTATGAATATTGGCATCTAAAAATATATCATTCCCACAGTGACCATAGTGCGTCGGTATATTAGTTAGTAGGCCCATATATACACCGACTAAGAAGGGAATAATTGGCAAGGCCATATCGACGATGTCTATTTTTCTACATGATTCATTGTTCAATGGAACAACGCGCTTAATATGCATCTTAGTATTAGTTTCTTGGGTGTCGGTATTTTTGTTTTCAGTTGATTGATGATAAGAGCTTGCAGAGGGGACTGACTCTCTTGTTGATCAATACCTTTGTCAAGAGTAATATGACCCCTAGAGAAAACATCCCCACTGTTTTTATCCGCAACGTCATCAACGAGCAAGAAGATATTCCGAAGGTTACGCAGTGTTAGTTATAATGTACGGGCTTGATGTGCACTACTAACCACTTTGCTGGCGTGTGATATGAGGGATTTCATATATCCAACACTGGACAAACTGGAAGGCCGTCCTTGTGGATCTTAAGTAGACCATACACTCCAGGAATGGGTGTGCCGACCAGCTAAAGGTGTTCGGAGTTACGATTGTCTAAAAATTTCTTACATGGAATCTTCCTAGACAGTCGGTACTTGTTAAAATTAATTTTCCCCAGTGACCGCCAATTCAAACTAAAGAGTGAACTTAGGATTAAGAGGAATTCATGCATGGCTAAAATGCTAGGCTATTTCTGAAAAACCGATAAACAGCGCGATCAAAATATGACGCAATTTGCGGCTGAGCGGAATACGAGAAGGTCTGGTCAGCTAAGTATCACCTTTTGTTTGGAGAGGGAATCTGACTGTCCGAATTTGTGCAAACAGAAGGTGTCTTGATCTTACTGAAGACTGGAAGAAATCGGTAATCATACACCAGCAGGTTTATCCCGCGAAATGTTTACTAAGACAGAATAGCATTGCCGACAAAGACAAGGGAGACTGGAATGGCCATTTCTGGCTTATTAGCCGTCTGGACTGTGTTCTCGGTCGGAGATGAGTGCTTAGGTCGAAGTGCAATGGTGACTATCAAGCACCATAATCACAAGATATTTCAGTCGCGTCAGACGTCGCTTTCGAATGGGTTTAAGTTCCGCCATCTACAAAAATCAAGCTCGTTAAAACATGGTCACTTAGTTATCAAAGCTTTTTCACTGACTTTGGATGCATTTATAAATCCCAGGATAATCGCAGCATTTTCTGGCGAACACGTCCCCTTTGGCTACTCTTGGGCAGATGATGAAGTCTTGAAGGCCTTGCGAACTGCAGGCTTTGGGCGCTTATGCATGGCAAAGAAATGGTTTGCCTGCTTACTCATGGACGTGGTAGCCGAGACTGATCTGTAAAACGATGGTTCCCTAGCGCATTTTAATATGGAATTCAGGGGTCCTTGACAGTATGTCTCTTAACTGCTGCATCGAACTTCTCCACCACTTTATTTCATTTTGGCAGGCATACCGGCGTGGTCTGCTCGCCCTTGGGCAACAGTATGTAGACTGTGATGACTGAGCTCCTGGGATTGTAGTATTGTAATAAATGACAACTGGCTTGACTAACTGGAGAGGTATTGGCGGCCGTCTGATCGTGGACACAAAAATATCTTGGTCAGACAATCTAAGCTGGAACCGGATGTTCACTGTTCGGGCGTGAATTGGGGTGCTAGCCAATGTTAGAAATTAACAGGCGTTTTTTTGGCAGATTTTAATAATTCGTTGGACCCAATTGTAAAAGCTCTGTGACCTCGGTAGGACTCCAACCCAAGACAGCGTAAGTACAGCTTAAGTACTGTTTATGCCCCACCCAACCTATGAGCGTTTTCTGTACTCAAGCCTTGCCCTTGCTGTCGTAAGTTCGAATCACACCGAGGCAGCCGAGTCTGTCACAATTGGATCAAAAGAATGTTAGAAGTGTTATTCGGTTCAGCTTCAACATTGTTGATTTTGCTGTTGCGACGTATGTTAATCTAATCGTCAACACTGTAGCGTACGCTGCCCGGGCTGTCAGGACATCATGCCACAAACGCGTGACAAGAGAACGATCAAACTCATGTACCCCTGTTCACACCTTCTTTGTGCTAATTGGCTACTCATCAGCTCATGACATTCACCCCCGACATATACTCGGCTGTTTCCACAAGCCTCCTCACTTGTGCTCTCTCGTACTCACTTCACGTCCTATTTACAATTAACCTTCTGTTTTGCATACATAACAAATACCAATGTCGGCTCCGCATGCACATTGAAAGTGAGGACATGTTGGAGTGATTGCACGAGAATAAAGCCATGTGTGGCTGCGGCTAATTTGCCTGTCATACTCGTGTGGTTTTTTGTTGGCAAATTACTTTGCCTAGGCGGGGTAATTGGCCACGCGGGGAGGATACAGGTGAACACATGTCCCCGATACCAGGGTCGGTTCGTCAGATGGTAGAGCAATCATCACACCAACATCCAACGCACGTGATGAAATTGCAGCAATTAACGGCGCGAATGTCGGCGATCAAACAGCCATCACATCACGTGCAACGATCCCTGATGAAGGGGGGAGTCGTGAATATTTATAGGTATGCGGTAGCATGACGACTGCATCCTACAAATGCTGCAGCCCCTTATGCATGAACCACCCGTATCTGCTTTTGTCACTGATGATGGGTTCGAGCAGGAATCTGAAACGTCAGGCTAATAGAGCTCTTGCCCCAGCGATCGTGTCTCCTTCAAGACTGCCTTCTGGACTCGTCTCTTCGCTTATTTTGATCGTTGTTTAATTTTTTGCTGAAACTCAGTTTTGC